AAATACCCTTATTATTTTAACTATTAAAATTTTTCGGCGAAATTTGACCAGAACGATCAAAATTGATAAAAATTGCATAGTCAAAGTACTAAATTGACACTTTTAAAAGTCAATGACTGAAATTAACAAGACCCTTATAGTCATAGAACCAAAATTGAAATTTTCTATGGTACGTGGAGTATGACTATCATATTAGAGACTACAAAGTCACGAAGATTATTAATATTATTTTGATCTAATAATTTTTTCAATGAAGTAATAATGGAATATATATAATTTATATTATATTTCTTATCTATTACATTCTTTATAAAATAACAACTTTATTCTTTCATAATTTATTTTATGAACTAAATATATAATTATAAGGAGTAGTTATTAAATTAATCATCTCAGCAACACTAATGTTTTTATTTACCATTTGAGATACATATACATATTTAATTGCATGTAACAAACTTCGATAGTACGTTGTTGGTTGGGTGGTGTAGGGACATGCATTCCTAGGGATGGGAGACTAATTTCTTGATGATTCTAATCTTTGGTTTCTTGTTCTTGTTACATTCAAACTTAATTGTGTTGAAAATTTTTATCCTTTCACCAATGTATGTATGTGTTGGGAAATTCACCTTGCAGTGAAAATCGCATTTCCTGTCTCCTAACCCATGTTATATTTTTGCAATAAAAAGCATGCATGCATGGATTGGACTTTGGGAATTACTAGATGAGATTTATTAATTAATTGTTTAATGGATTTTTAACCACACCCTTTTAGCCCCAATCCCCATGAAAATTTTAGTAATTTCTTTGGTGGAATTAAAAAAACATACATGCCTTCCGACCATAGTCAAATGCTTGATGCTAAGCCTAGCTTTTGTTTTTTGGTTTTGTTGATCCTATATAGAATAATACTTGAAGCTACTCTAAGGCACATGTTAATTTACTAGGGTTGTCTATAAATTAGATTTTGGATTGCATCAATATCAATGATAAGCTTATATTTTAATTTCTTTTAACAAATATTGTGTATTTGTTTGATTTTTTTAGATGATGAGAGAAATTTATAGTCACTATTTGAGAGTGTGCATTAAATAAATTGTGCTTTTGTGTAATACTTCGTGTAGGGAATAATATAACTTCACATCACAAACCAGTAAAATAATTAGAGATGGAAATAAAGGTTAAGATGAGTAAGAAAGGTATGGGTTTTCTAAGATTGAATTTTTCTTGACATAATTGGTTATTTTATTTTATTTTTTTTAGATTTCATGTCTAGTCATATATACATATTGATAAATATGACAATTTTTTTTTAAAGTAATCATTCATCATAATTTTTTTAATATTAGGGTGTAATGTCAAATCATCCTCACTAGTGTAATACATATTTTGTGTATATAAACATTTCAACATATTTATTGGAAAAATGATAATTGATTTAAACTCAACCTCAAGTCAATTCTTTTTTTTTTTTTGTTTTTTTTTTTTAAAATCATAAACTCAAATGAATATTATTAGGGGATAATAAAGTCGGGTGGGATATCATAAACGTCCCCTCGCTAGTGAACATGACTGTCCCATAGCTCACTTTTCCATTATGAGTCGATATTCTGTAATTAAATATGAGCTACATCAACATATTAAACTTCAAATTTAATCCATTATTCACACAGAAGCACACAATAATAACTGTAAATAAGTAAAAGAAAATTGTTCATCTTGTATACGTAGTTTGCAAGTTATTATACAAATGTATAGCTTATCTCATGTACATCATCAAATAATGATAGCAGATTTCTCACGCTACAAAACAGAAACAAGTAAAAAAATGTTCATCACAATGGTACCAAATAATCTTTTTGTAGAAAGAATTATATTAAATTAGGACGCGGTGAAATTGATTGGAAGCAAAGGTGCAACGGTTGAAGATCGATATATGTTATTATTAATTAGTACGTGCAAAATGAATACTAGGTAGTGAGCGGGTACATTTTTGTCACACTCATGTGGTACTATAAGGTGGATGGGTACACAGTGAACACATTATTGTTCGTTGAATCCATGCTATATATACATGTGGTGTCAATTGAAGATCATAAAACCATAAACAGTGAAAGACTGTTTTGTTCAGGTACTTGTTTCAAGCCTTTGTCTCGTGGGATTCTTTTAGTTAGTACATTTTGTTGGTGAAATTAGTTCTTAATTATAAATAATAATCTTATTAATTTATTGGTTATATATAAACTATATCATCACATGTCACGATTGTATTGAAAAAAAAAAAAATTATTGGCTAGAGGCCTCAGGACGGATCAAGTCTAGCATTTTATTATCGAAACGTAACACTAACTATTATGCAAGTATACTTAAAAAAAAAAAAATTACTAGTATGTTACTATCTACAATACAACTTTAAGCTTAGTGACAATAAAAGTTGGCCTACTTTTTTCAAGATCAATCCAGACGTGTCACATAAGCATGAAGTAACAAATAAAGTAAAAGAGAGAGGGGGAGAGAGTAAGCGTAGTATTTGTTTATCATGATTAAAATGAACCCATATAATTGAAGCATGGGTTTCATCCCAACTAAAAGTCTAAGCTGATAATTGGATTGCACATTAATAATTATATGCTCAAGACATATAATAATAAATTTGGAAGATATTTACCTAGCTTGTATTTATGTTCCTATGTACTTGTTTTGCCAGACTCCATCCCCTAATGTTTTTTTTTTTTTTTCCCTAAAATTTGAGTGCTGGATAGCGCATTATATTCCCAAGAACATTACATTTGCTTTATCTCTTGCTCCATTACTACCATGCATGTGATGCTTGTTTCAGCTCTAACACTATCCAAATTAGGGCACAACATTTACCTTCGAAAATTTATTTCAGCTTGTCCATGTTGTCATAATGATAGTACGTAGTGCCCAACTCACCTATGAAGGATAAGATATATAGGATATTCTGCTAGATGATTGTTTTCGGATTTCACCCATCACTAATTAACATTACTTTTTTTATGAAGAAGAAAACTTGCAGTTACTATTCGAAGGGGCTCTTTGTGCACAATAAACAAAATTTCAGCTTATGTTGATTAGTCGAGTCATCAAGATTTACCCATCAATAATCCTGTGAGTCCTGTCGGGTTAATGTGAGGGCGCTTAAGGTTAACGATTCCTCCCAGATGCTCTGTCGGGTCGGGGTGTGGGGGTGATTGGAATTGGGGATTCAACCTTTAGGGAAGAAGGAAGAAGATAATGATTTCTTTTTAACCTTATGTCCAATGGGTCTTTACAATTTCCCTGCATTTATATTACCTAATAATTTGTGGACTGCAATGTAGCAGCATATATTTTGGGTGTGCATATGGATATACGGAGTATAATTAATGTCGTTCCACGTTGAAATTCAAATATGTATTCTTTTAATACAAAATTCTATAATTTTTCTTGAAAAGAGTATCAAGTGAGTAAAGTATGATTCTCATATTAAAAGATCACATGTCCAATATTTGTCAACAGCTATTCAGTCAAACTCGTCACACATTAATTTTTATAGTGCAATCTACCCCTCTTGTACAATTTACAGGCTATTATATAAGAGCAAAGTTTACACAGTAATGACTTCGAGTTCCTCTCAACACCGAAAATAATTCTATAATTTTCATATATTTTCTTTACAAATAAAACATATGATAAATTGATATTTGATAATCCAACGCAATTATTTTATGTATTTTAACTCTGTATAATCGTCCAACCCGACCAAAGCTCTCCAACCCAAGCAATTGCCGGTATGTATTCAAACTCTTTGTTTCCCAATGCTTAACACCCCTTTTATGCCCAACAATATTCACTTCCCAATTTACAATGTTGCTTTTATTATTTGTACTCTTATACTTGTGTTTTACACATACAAAACTTTTTTTTTTTGGAAAGCCACATACAAAACTTTTATTTCAACTAATTTTAAAAATTGTTAAACAAATCGTTACAAAAAATGAGAAATTTATTTCATCAAATCAATAACGTCTAACAAATCTAATTTATTTATTTTTTGAGGAAAATCTAATTGAAATTTAATAACTATAATTATTATGTTATCCTTGAAATTAAATATCACTCTATTTGTTGTTACATGTGTATTGTTAATTAATACACTGCATCTATTGTTGCAGCAACTTAGTCATATTTGACATGCTATTTGACTTTTGCATTTTCATCATATTCACACTTATGAGCCTACTGTATTGATCAGTACAATATCGATACAATTGAATACAATTATATATGAATAGTATATCTTGTCCCAAAAGGTTGAATCCCCAACCCTAAGGGCCCCCCACACCTGATCCGATAGAACATATGAGAAGATGTAAATTACGGTGACTCAATGGTTCAGCAGATAGGGCATGAATAGTATATCTAGTTGTATCAAACATGGTCAATTATGATATTTATAGTATTTGATACAATAAGTTATGTATTATGCATGATTATATTCAATGATGATTGGCACCGTACCAAAATCTTATACACACTAACATTAATTTTTATTTTTATTTTGATAACGAGTAAAACCCGCAATCACTACTTAATGATATATATTGTGAAAATATCATATTCTGGCCTTAACTGTCAAAAATCATAAGGAGGTAAATCAGTCTAGGTTGCTCATAACTGAGTGACTCAAATCAAGAACTCAAAAAAATTAATAGGTTATTCCCGCTAGGAGTCAAACTTGTATCTTTGAGGTTACCACACCGTTCATTATTATTTGTATATATTTTAACCTTTACCTTAGCAGACAAAAGACAGTAAAAGAGATAAATTAGCTTAAGTTGTCTATAATTGACCAGCTCAAATATAAAAAGTCAATAGATCGTTTCGACTGAGAGTCGAATCTGTAACCTTGTAGTTATACCAGGCATTAATTATTACGGAGTATTTGTATATATTTTAACCTTTACCTTTTTCCCACTACTACTTTAATTTGGGGTTTTTGCTCTCCATCTTTTTCACTCTTCCCCCATCTAGTAACCTAGCTTATCATCCACTCTCACTGTTGCTCTCTCCTCACCTCCCATCATCATCATCACCACCACCATGACTGATCATCCCTACACTAATTACTTCCATGGATTCTTCAACCATCCCAACCCTGCAAATCACCATTTCCCTTCATCTTCTTCATCTTCTTCCACTAACTATACCTTCCACTCATTCTACAACTTCCCACCTTACCCACAGTTCCACCCATACCTGCAACCATCCTCTCCCTCTTCTCCCCCTCTCAGAGAAGCCCTCCCTCTCCTCAGTCTAAGCCCAAGCAGGGCTGAGAATAATAACAACAATGATTCTGAGGGTGATGAAGATGTGAGTGTGGACTTGAACTTAGGGCTGCCTAACCATAGCCCTGCTGATCTGCAGATTTCTGGTTCTGGGCTTTCTTCTTCATCACACAATGAAGAAGATAATAACAACAAGATGGAGGATCATAGCCAAGAAGGAGTCACACTGCATAAGGGTCAGTATTGGATCCCCACCCCTTCCCAGATTCTGATTGGCCCCACACAGTTCTCTTGCCCTCTTTGCTTCAAGACTTTTAACAGATACAACAACATGCAGGTATGGCTTAAAGCCTTTAATTTAAAGCTTTCATTTTTCTGTAAAAGTAAATGAGATGATGATGGTGATGAACAACAATGATTTGTCCTAAATGTCAAAAGCTTCCATCCCCTTTTTATTTTTATTTTATTCCAAATTTCTTCTCCATTCCTTTTTTGTTTCCCAGAAAAAGAGAATACCCATTCCTCTCCTCTTTTTTTTTTTCCCCCATAATTTCAACCTTTCACTTTTTACATCAAGGCTTTTGAATCTTGATGGATTGGGTGAAAGGAAGACAGTAAATAAATTAAATGGGTTTTTTTAAAAAAAAAATTCTCACATTTTATTGACTGCAATATATATGTATATATATTGGGATCTGGAATCCTGAATAAATCTAAGTGAAATCTAAGCTGGTCAAAACTGAAAACATGGTGACTGGTGTATCAGTGGCCTCTCTTAATTTGATTGAACAACACAGCCATTATACCTTTTTGTCCTTGAAGTTTGTACTTTTACTACATTGGCAGGTGTGTCCAACTCAACATTATATTTTTTCCCTGTTCCCTCCTGTGTGATCTTGGATAAATCTTCATTATAGAAACATCTGCATGAGTGAAAAACCTTTTCTACCTCAACACTCTAAGTCTCTAACCATAACAGAAATTTTTACTGTGTCCCACCATTATTAATAAGGTCAGTAGATTCAACGATTCCCTAATATTTGTAATGTAGTTTACAATACCTATCTAAAATTTAATTTCTAGGGTAGTTCAAGTGGCAAGTGAACTTATCTGTATGGACGATTCCCCGTCTTCAATTCCAACCGGTGACAATTCCCCTTGACTAGCTCCCATGTCTCCCGAGACGAACAGGGATTAGTCGGGTGGACCTGGACCGTGTTTTACACCAGACGAACAAAAACTTGCCTAAAAGAATTTTCTAAACCTGACCTCGTATAAGCGGAAGCTGTAGCCGTGTTTGCCATATTTGCCTCAAACTTATTCAGAACCTTAGATGGTGTATGAGTACGGTATCTGAATGTGCTATATAATGAATATAATGTATCTCATCAATCTAGGTTTATATTAAGCACAGAATCTGGTTGAATAACAATTTTAGTTATTTTGTCTAACCAGATCACTTAATAAGCCCAGTCAACTTGCAACACCTAATTAAGGTCCTAATATATAATATATATTATTAGGGAAAATCTTACATTTTCATGCACCTTAGAGTGATTTTCGTCCAAATTGTGAGGGTGATTAGAAAGAGATGGACAAAAATTGTGGTTTTTCCAATTGTGACTCCACACAGCATAGAAGATGGAAAACCCCCCAGGAACTATACTGTGCAATCTGCTTTAAACTCCATTTCCAAAGGTTTAAGAAACATGAAAACCCCACAAAGATTACATCTTTGTTTCTGAATCTTGATTTATGTGGCTCAGGAAAATATATATGTGTTTGTAATCTTTCTTTATTAAAGCATCCTCTTTTATAAACCCAGGGGTTAGATACACTCAAATGTATATAACCATCATCATCATCATCATAATCATCTTCCCAACTTCAAGATTTCCATACCCACAGACACAGACACACAGATATTTGAATATCCCCTTTTTAGGTTAAGTATGTCAATGGCCATGGGGGGCTTTACAATGATACCTTAAAGAAAAATACTTTAGACTTGGCATAAAGAGACAAAGTGGATCTTGTTCCCTAGCTAGTTGAAAAAGGAAATCCATCAAACGAATCAGAGCCATAGATTTTGTGTGTTGTGCTGTTTCTTCACATGATGGATCATGTTGATGTAGACTAAAATGATAGGGGGATGGAGAGGAAAAGAGAGAAAGAAGGAAACAAATTGAAGACAAAAAGAGAAGTTGAAATGACTCTGATTATATTAATTAGCTTGCTTTATGTCTCATTTAATTTAATTTCTTTGAGATTTGAAGTTTTATTTGATGCATTTAATCTTCTTCTTCTTGTCTTCATGCCTCTAAATCTGAAAAAAAAAAAAAAAAAAAAGTCATATCAAAGGTCTCCTTTTGGTGAAACCCGACTTCTGACTGTAGTCGGCAAAGAGATCACGTATAAAGAAGTAAATTAGCCTAAGTTGTCCATAGCAAGTTAATAGGTAGCTCTCGAACGGAGTTGCCCCTACCATACATATAGTTGCAAGTTAAATACAAATAAGTCTGTTGGCTATGGACAACTTAAACTGGCTTATCTTCTTGTGGCCTTTGTCAATTAAGGTTACAAGACGGGTTTCATAAAAACCACACCTCTAAGTTGCAGACTTTCCCGTAAATCAGAGGAAGTAAAATGAACTATGAATTTATTATACTACAAAATTTAATCAAAATTCACATATTTTAAAAAATATTTATTGACTACTTGAAATTTAGTGAATAAATACATATCAACTATCATAAATTTGTATGCATATATTAATATTGTTTGTTTGTGCACAATTGTTGTATGCAATCAGGCATGCATGTGGAGTTTCTCCTAATTTCCATAATTCAAGCATCGAGTTATAAGGATAATACACTACCTTAATAGGACAATGTATGTAGTGCAACTTGACCATGATATTTCAACTGAAATAAACAACATATATATAACATGTCAAACTCGACATGATATATAGTGATTTCTACTAAATTAACAACTCAATACAGTTGATAATTCATTCTACTTTATGTCTTTTTCATTTTAATTGTCACATTTTATTTCTTGAATATTGAGTTATAGTGATAATACTGCACCTGTATAGTGGCTTTTGTGCAACTTGGGTATGAAATTTCAACTCACATAAAGAACCTTGCATGTCAGCTTAATGTGATAGCCATTTCTACTAAATATACTCGTTTCATTTTTCTCATTTTAATCCTTTGGCGGTAAGGAGAACCGAATTTAATATCCTGCCATAGAAACACGGCGCTGACTGTTACGTAGATATATAAAAAATAAAGTTATACATTCGCTATTAGCTATAACTTTTTATTATATATGACTGCGGTTCGATATCAGTTTCGAATCCCCAATTCAGGAAATTGATAAAAACAACTGGTTTGAACTTTTTTTTTCTTTAAATTTTATTTTTTATTTTTTATTTTTAAAATAGTCCAAATTCAACTTTTAATTTATTTTATTTTTCTTTTCGAAACCTTTTGGATTCTGGTTCTGAATCATAACTGGAACAGTCCCTACATTTCGGTTGTGGGGTTACTATACAGTGTCCAGTTCGATTTAAACTGAATCGCGGTCATTATAATTTTTAAATGCTTCATCTGACAATTAGTATCAGAGCAGTTTAAAGATTAAATTGATATTAAACTAATAAAATTTTTTTTTGATTGGGTGATGTAATAATATAATATATGATGAAGATGCACATGTGGGGGCATGGGTCGCAGTACAGAAAGGGACCGGAATCGCTCCGGGGAACGCAGCCGACGGCGATGTTGAGGCTGCCGTGTTTCTGCTGCGCGGCGGGCTGCCGGAACAACATCGACCACCCACGGCCGAAGCCGCTGAAGGATTTCCGGACGCTGCAGACGCACTACAAGCGGAAGCACGGGATCAAGCCGTTCATGTGCCGGAAGTGCGGGAAGGCGTTCGCCGTGCGCGGCGACTGGCGGACGCACGAGAAGAACTGCGGCAAGCTCTGGTACTGCTCCTGCGGCTCCGACTTCAAGCACAAGCGCTCCCTCAAGGATCATATAAGGGCGTTTGGGGATGGCCACACCGCCTGCGGGATCGACTGCTTTGATGAGGAAGATGAAGCGGCTTCTGAAATCGAGCAAGATACCTAGCTAACGGCTAATAATAACTATATTATTAACCGCTTTATAAAAGTTCATTGGGATATATATCTCTAATATTCATCCGTTTACTTATATATTTTAATGAAACTTCTATTTGTATTTTATATATTTATTAACCGCTTGTGAATTAATCAAATTTATTAGGTATTTCTAGTATTTTAGCCCTGTTTGGTAAAATAGTTAGTTTATAAGTCAATTTTAACTTATTTGACCACTATTAATTCTTTGACTTGGTTAAGAAAATCAATATAAGTGTTGGTTAATTAGCTTTTTGTAATTCCAAAGTGCTAAAATTCAAAAAGTTAATCAAAACAACTTTTTCAATTAGCTTTTTGAAAAAAAAAAATATATATACCAAACGACTATCAGTTAAGAGCTAATTTACCGAACACATTTCTACAATCAGATAATGTTATCAACTCGTTATACTCTCTAATTAACATAATAAGTTAATGACTATCAGCTAACAACCAGTTACCAAACATGACCTATGTATTTTTCTTCTCACATTTTTCTAGCAGGGTGCTGAACTTGGCCTTTCACCATCTCCCCCTAACAATACCCTAGCCATCAATTATTGGACTTGTTAGGATCAAACATTACCACTAGGTCAACACGTATAGTTCATAGGAAACAACTTATATATATCATAACATTTTTGGAAGGCAAAGTGTTGGACTTAACTTTTCAATTTCTTCATAGGCCTTCGCCCAACAATTCTTTAATTACCAATTGTTAGACTTGACTCTTCACTGGTGGTCGAAGAGGAATTAATAGAATGAAGAAAGAGTTGGAGAAGGATGGAAGGCAGGCATATGCATGAGATGATGAGAGCTGATGAGCTTTTAATTTGGTGACAGTGTTGTGACAATGACAAATGTATATGGTAGGAATTAATTAATATAATAATAGAATAATATTGCGAAAGATGAGTTTGTGAAATGTCTTGTCCAATGTAGTACTGTACCAGCTAGCTGCTACATGCCTAGCTTCAATTCATCCAAGGAAAATTAAGGTGTAGGGTTTGTGTGCATGTTGTCAACTTGTCATGTTGTGTGTGCAGTATGGAACTATGGACGTATCACGGAAATACTTAGAATTTTTGTCATGTAGACATAAAAGAATTTGATGTGTGACATGAAAAGCCAATACGTACCTGCATACGCCATTTTTGTTCTACTTCACAAATATAATTGTGGATTAATCCTTAATCAAACTAATTCATTCTCTTTAATTTGAGTAATTTCTCAACTAGGGTTGTTGTTATGTGTTAATTAATTAATTAGCAACCGTTGATTTACAAATAAGGTATAGAATTTGAGTCATTTGGATCATAATTGGAAATAAAACCATTTAGTCACTAACGTGTTTAATTTTCAACCATTTTATAGATAAAAGAAAAATTGACTGTTATTATTACTATCATCAATCAATTTGTGCGATCGGGCTTAACTAACTGATTTAGTAGGTAATATTTTGGATAAGAGACCAATGTTTAAACCTCTACAGCGGCAGTATGAGGATTATGTCCAAAGTGGTTAAGTATTTTATGCGCACTGACATTTGGTCATTTCTGCTGAGCGATTGAATCACCGTGATTTACATCATCTTAAATGCTCTGTCAAGGTATGGGTTCTCTTGAAGTAGGGGATTTAATTTTTTGGGAGAAGAAGTATTAGCACCCAGCTAACTTTTTGGTGATTAGCAAATTTGTTGAAATAAGGAAAACTTGTGATTTTGCTTATCAAATAAGAAATTATGGTAATACGAAGATTTTCACTAAAAAAATAAAAGGTAATACGAGGATTGCCTAATTCACTAAAAAAAAAAAAAGTAATAAGTTATATTTATGGATATGTTCCAAATAAGTAATAAAAAAAAATTACTTTTGACTAAAAATATTAAAATTTTTAGTTACCTGAATAATAAATTTAAAATCATGAATTTTTCAGCAATGTAGATTAAGAGAATCTAAAATAGAATCCATCATTACTTAAATTAACTCTAAAATATAGTTAAAATTAAAACGGATAATCGAGGGGTGAAATATGATTTTGTAAAAAAAATTACAAATTTGATTTTATATCATTGATCATGATTAATATCCCCCAACAGCCGCGAGTGTCTCTCTTAATCCAAAATACCAATCATTACTTTTAAATTTTTTTTTTGAAAAGTAACAATAATACCTATAGGGCAATAGCCAATAGGTAAGGTTAATCCCAACAAATATATGACGAAATTGATGGATGGCTACCCTAGACCTATATTCATTAATAACAATTTATTATTATAAGGCAATGTCTACCACTCTATCTAGTAGCTGGACTGTTCATACGTGTTGTCAAATTATAGTTCCATTTCAGAGTGTAAAGCCAAGACACATGAAGTGAGAGGATCCAAGTGAATTATGTATGCAAGTACTCTCCTAACCTGCAATATATATATACAATTCTTTTTGTTCATCTCTTCAATGAACCGACAGATTGGTGTTACTCAACAAAGCCTTTCAAAATCCAATGAGTTAATAGGAGTATGCATGGAGACTCGAGCACAAGTACATATGTGCCTCTGATCAGGGTAATTACTTCTGCAGATCAAGTATAGTGAAAGTCCTATGTGTTGGGGTATGGGGGGTTTGGCTCATACCTTTAGAGGCGGCTTTCAACATCTTCGGTATGCATAAATTTTGAAGAGTTTTTGCAGGTGCGACGAGATGATTTGAAGAGAATTTATTTTAAAGAAAAAAAATATAGTTTAACGCGTCCGACTAGGCGCTTCACACGCACAAGAGGAGACAAATGTTTTTTTTTTTTTTTTTTTTAGTGGGGCCCACTTTTCTTTCAAAAACCAAGTTTTCCTGCAAGCACCCATCATAGGCAAATTATACCATGGACCAGAGTTTATCTTGCATTGTAGATCCTGGTCCAAAAATAACATTCAGATTCTGTATCTATAGTTGACACATTCTGTAAGTGCAGTTGATGGTTTTTTGTACTTGTAGCTATCATATTATGAAATAACCTTTAGATTATGTATCTATAGTTGCCACATTCTGTACCTGTAGTTGATAGTTTCTGTACCTGAAGCTATCATATTATGTGTCAACAATTATCAAGTTATTTGTTTACATGTACAAAAACGATTAACTGTAGGTACAAAATGTGTTAACGGAAGGTACAAAATTTTTGTACCAAGATTCACGATACAATATGAACCCTAATCCATGGTATAATAATTGCCCAACTTCTTCTCTTTTCTATTCCTCTCTTCTCCACATAAAGAACCCAACCTACAAAAACCTGTGGTATTCATACTTAACTTGTTTTCTCACTAGTGTAAAATTCATTCTTTTACCCCCAATATATATCTTGAGTTCCCCTTAATCATTGTTGTTTTCATGCACCTAGTTAGCTAGGGCACCCCAGCCTGGCTGAAAACCCAACAGTATATTATATAAAGAAAATATACACTAATTTTCTTTATTTATTAAAGCATCATTACATGAATTGACAATTCAGATGAAGACATGAAGTGTCATTGGAACTAACATGATAAAGTGATTGCTGATTTTTTTTCAAGTGATAGAGAAATTATTATAATCACTGTTTGAGAATGTACATTAGATAAACTTGTTACTATGAAGTTTGTTGCTTTGCCTTCTTAATTCTAAGGATTAAAGTTGGCTATTATTGAGCTATTTGCTATAGTGCTATGTTAGGTATCTAATTATCCAAATCATTAATATGTGCACTACATTCTGTCTACACATATTTGATGCTGTTAGGACAGCTGATTTTCCTTTCCTTAGATCCATGGGGTTTTGTTTCCTAGTTAAAGGTTCCACCCTAACTCTAATTTTTTGTTTTTAGAAAATACAAATAAGAAATTCGACAAATTCTAAACCAAGTTACAAGTAATAACCAAATCTCTATAATGTTGTTGCTCGTGCTGCAAAAACTACAATACAAAATTCATCCAAATTCGCACCTCCCTCGATGCTTTTAACTCCATACACAAGACATCAAGGAATCTTGAACTTGCCAACAAGAACAATTATTATATATGTTTCTTTACTTGCAAAAACTCGATTTTTAGAGTGAGCTCACCAAATATGAAAAAGGTACTCCATTGGTGGTGTGAGGCGCAACAACAATCCCCGATGGACATGTTAATGCGTTAATAATTTGGAGCTTTTTTTTTTTTTTTAATATTTTGTTTTTGTTTTTTTTTTTTTCTACTTGAATTCTAAAATCTTATGCAAAAATTAGAGCTATTGAGTATGCTCTAATTTTAATTGATTTATGGATACTTAATGTTTTTTTAATCAAAATTTATTTTTCACAACTAAATACCAATATTTATGAGCTGTTCTATAATACCTACTCTATATTGTCCAGAAGTGTAGCTCTTAACATCAAAATAACATTCTCCAAAAAAAAAAAAAAAGTTATTAATTAATATAATACCATAAAATATAACAATAATCATATCATATCATTAATAATAAGGTAATAATACAAAATAAGTAAAAATAATTAAACACTGAAGACCCTAACAGAAGATTAAGGCCATAAAATTCAGATAATCATATCACGCCTCTAAGCTTCCACACTCGCCGTCGCCGCCACGAAACACTGCCAGAGCCGCCACAAAATCTGCCAATTCATTCCAATTTCCGATCGATCTCCGTAGATTTCTAGTGCCGGAGAAGCCCCACGAGCGACAGCAACAGAGAAGAGCAGAGCAAGGCACCGTAACCAGTCGCCGGAAAACCAGCTCCGGAGTCCATTCCCGGCGCCGGCGCCGGAGCCAGATCGATCTCCTGCGCTGCACCGTTAAAGGAGAGACACCACAGCATGAAGATAACGGAAAAGACGACGATTTCCGAGATTCCCAATTTCGCCATTTTCGCAGGTGTACGAGGAAAAGCAGAGTTTTTTTCTTAAGATTGCGGAAAGGCGGAAAGAGAAGAAGAGACGATGCGAAGAAATGGATTTAGGTTGTCTGTATTTATAGATGTTTGTGTGGATCGCACAACGTTCGATTTTGGATCGTAGTTCAATTTTGAATCTGATGGAGAACGTTGGTGCAACGTTCGAATGCTTCGAC